CTTCACTCTCAGGGGTTCTGATGCATAGGTCCAAGACACTGACAAGATGCTCAACTGGGCCACCCATGGGTTACAGGTCTAAACAACACACAGCACTGTGCAGAGACAAAGGTAGAAGTAGATAACAGAGAGAACTAAAGTGGTGGTACTTAAGCCAAACCCTGAATCTAAGTACTATGGAAAGACAACACAGTTCCCTAAAGCCTTGATATGAATTCTGGATAACAAAATTTCATACGTTTGACTTCTTTTTCCTAAGTGTAGAATTCAAGGAGAAAATTACTGGTTGAGACCATTTGTTATTACATTCCAAACTATTAAGGATTCATTGAGCTGCAACAGTATTTCGTATACATCACAAAATAAAGTTACTTAATTATAATTTCCTTTTTAAAATGATGATTGTTTTGATTTACTGCACAAATGATACTTGCTCACTATAGGAAATACAGACAAAGCAGAAATGTATAACATAAAAAGTGAAGAAACATCCTCTCCCAAACCTTATGCCTCAGATTTAAAAACACCATTAAACAATTTGAACTGTTTGGTAGTGACCTTTTAGACTTTTTAATGTATTTAATGTAATATAAATCTTGTCTAACTTTGTGTATCTATACATTAATATACAAATCAATATTTTAAGTAGAAAAGTAAATATTTTTTTCTTTCAAAAATTAAAAATTTGATATTAGGGAAAGATTGAAAGGAAGCAAAAGGAAAGGTTTTTTTTTTTTTTTTCTATTCTCTCCTCCCTTCTCTCTCTCTCTCTCTCTCTCTCTCTCTCTCTCTCTCTCTCTCTCTCGTTGTTTGTCTGTCTCCTTCACTTTGCTGTTTCCTCCCAGAAAATTCCCAGTTATCATTACTGACACAAGTTAATTGTACAAATTAATGGGTCTCACTGTGACATTTCTGTGTAGCGTTATGCCTTGGTCATGTTCACTCTCCTCTTTATTTGTTTTGTCCTCCTGCCTCTAATTCTGCCTCTGTTCCTGAAAGCCCTCTTTCCTGATAGTTCTTTTTGACTAATTTTTTATAGTTTTATAGGGATAGGGGTTTAGCTCAGTGGCATAAGTGCTTACCTGGCAAGCATGAGGTCGATCTCCGTTACCTAATGATAATAATAATAATAATAATAACAACAACAACAACAAATTTCCAAATAAGTACATGTATTTATTTGTTTCCTGGTCTTTTACATGTGTTGATATGGATCTTTTCATCTGACTGTAAGTCCCAATTTTATTATTTTATATCTCACAAGATTTATCACACTAGAAGGGATATGAGATCCCTGGTAAACATATGTGTGATGCATTGTATCATATTTTGAAATGTTCTGACATTATACTTGATCATTTTCCCAGATTGTAGCATGTAATACGAATAATATTTCTCACTTATTCCACAAATGTTTGTCAAGCACCTCCTATGTGCCAGGATTAAGCAACCATCTGTACCAGGTAATAGGGACACAAAAGTAAGTAAATGAAAAAGAAAAATATGTTTCCTCTACCTATAAAGTTGACTATCCACTTAAAGATAGGGGAATAAGGGAATTGTATTTTTACGCTTGAAAAAAATTTTGTGGATTTTTTAAGAAAGGCAAGAAAATTCTGGTACATAATTTTCTTCTCTTAACTTGACATAAAAGTATGAGAACATCTCTCCCCTAATGTTTCTTCCCCAACCGTGGATGGAATTTAGTTTGCACACATCTGGAGATCAGATGCAGGGTCGGGCCATGCAGAAAATAATCCCCTCCAAGGATGAATCAAAGGACATGCAAGGGCAAGACTAAGAGGTTATTATTATTCCAAGTGAAGAGCAATATGTACATCAGGATTGTGGTGAGCTTTGTTAATTTATTTGTTAGGGCAGTGAAGTGTGAAATAATGTTTTTTGACCAATGCATAGGTGGAATGTGAACTCATGCTGTAAATGCAATGAAGGTGATATATAAGTCCCATTTTGGGGGGGGTGGTGAGGCATCCTCAGTGTGCTATGTAAATAGAGCTCTATCATTATACATAGATCACGATTATTAGCGTGGTTACATTATCTGGGTATTGAGAGCACCAGGATTTATTTTTCTGTGACATAAGTTCCTTTACTATTAGAATTTTTTATAAAGCTTGTTTGATGAAATAATTAGAGATAAATTGTTCACATCCACATTGGCAGGATAAGCTCCTTTAAAAATCATCACTTCACAATCATTCTAGACTGGGCTTCTGGAAAAATACCCTTGCAGATATTTACCAGGAAGAGTGAAGCTCATATAGGTTTTAAATTTAATTCATGATACAGTAATCTTCCAACAAGGGTTAAGCTACCCTTAAGGAGCTTAGCCTCTCTGCAATTAAGATGTTTGAATTGGGGTGAGACAGAATTGGGGGAAGGTTTCCTTCTTTTCAATTAATTCCTTACTGGCAGACTCCGCTTTCCCTCTGACCCTGTTACCTGCCTGTGGAATGCTCTGCTAGAGCTAGACTGCCAGAGTCAGGAGGAAGAGCAGGTAGGTTAATAATACTGCTGCTCCCTAGCACCACCTCCACCTGTGATCCGCAGGTGGAGCCAGCAGCAATTAAATGCAAAACATGGCAAATAGGAGCCAAGAATCTGGGTTCAAATTCTCCACACTGATTATTCTATCAAGATTTGGGCTTTTGCATAAAAATTCAGATAACTTAGTGTCTAATTTATCTTTAAGAATGCAGGAAATATCTGTGTGGTTATTGTATGAAGTCTTTTCAAGAGTAGCGTTATTTATTTTATCTCTTTGATTTAATTCAGTTTCCCCCAATTTCATCTATTGGGTAGGTATAACCTTCACAATGTTTCCAGATCCCAGTAAGATCTATATTATTTATTTACCATCTATTTTTTCTTAAGTCAACTTTTTAGCTTGGTGTAACCATACGAAAGAATATTAAACAAAATCATAAAGTTGAAAGGTTAGTTTTATTTAATTTTTATTCTCTTCTAATGTATCCTGACATTGATGCAGTGTTGTTAAGGTACAAGTACATTTTTTGATAAACTGTTTAAAATCACTCCACAAAAGTGCCAGATGGTACACATCACGCACCTTGAGGCACCCCGCTTCCAGCCAAGCTTGGCTGTGACTGTGGAGGTTTGGGACAGGTTATGCAAGTCTTCCTCTGTCCTTCTGCAGCTGACTTTATAGAGTATGTCCTCCTCTAAACACTGAATCTTTACTACTTCTACACAGCTTTGCACAGAGTAAGTATGTGAATTCTTTCTGAATTCTTTCCAGGCTAATAAGGAGGTCCTGCGTACTTAGCTGGACAGAAATTGAAGGTGCTGCTTAAACTCTTCTCTCTAACTTCCTTTTGCTCTACCTTGAAGTACTGGAAGGTTTTCTACTTGCTTTCCCTCCCAGTTGTAAACCCAAGCAACACTGATAATCATTTCTTATTTGCTTAGTAAAGACTAAAGAGTGAGGTTGTTGACAAAATTCATTGCTGCATCTTTCACCAGGAATGCAGTAAGGCTGTTATAACATTTTAATAGTGATTATTTCATTTATATGCTCTTTAGAATTCACCGATACACTTAATAGTTTGAAATTTTGAACAATCCCAATCATTTAAGTTGGCTTTGTGGCAAACAATATTGTAGTTTGAGTTTGGAGGCAGACTTTCTATTTTGATTCTGCATCATTTTGGCAGTATGAAGCAGAAGTAAAGAATACCAGAGATGCTTGAGTTTCTTGTAGATGAGAGAGTTCAGTACATAGAAAGAAACCTCATAGCTGAAAAATCAATACATGACATTCTTCTGTAATAGTTTTATTTGTTAGATTTCATTAATATATTTTATTCCAGGAACTCTAAAACTGTTGTGTCTAGTGTCTTGGATATTTCTGGCCATTTTTTCTGGATTGAAATAGACCTATAGTGAATCACAAGCCTGTCTACAGAGTTGTGATGTTAGGTGTAGTTATCTGCCAAAAACCAAAATTTCCTGCAGGAATGGGATGTGTCTTGACAACTTTCAGTTTTCTTTAGATGTGTAATTCTGCCCACACTAATGACTAGTGCTGCAGCAGATCAGCTCTTAATAATTGTGCTGTTCTGTCTTTTATATCTGTGGTCTCAGTATAATTGAAAAGTGAAAGGATAGGAGATAAGATTTGTAAGATGGTAAGGTTCAAAAGCTCAAACTGTATTCTGTAGGTGGTAGGAAGCCAGAAGAAAAGTCAAAGCCAGAAAGTGTGGTAATCAGAGTTGCTTTAGAAAGACAACCATACATAGAGTTTAGAGAGCAGGTTGGAGAGGGATGAGATGGAAGCCAGGCAGGTGCAAGGAAGTCATTGCCACAGCTGATGAGATTGATAACAGAAGTTAAGTCACAGTGGCGATGACAGTAGGGAGAAGGAGGTCTGTTTCAAATGTAGCAGTGCATCAAAGCAAGAGGATGGGATGGAGCACACGTTTGGGCAAAAACAAGTGAAGGGGATATTGAGAATGACCCCCAGATTTCTGGTTTATGTGAAGAAACAGATGAGGATACACTGACATACTTGGGATTTGGATACTAAGTTCAGATGTTAGTCATCATTTACTGGAATTTGTTCCCAATTTCTGACACCATTACCTTTATAAATTCATATATTTTGTTAAGTTTGAATATATTGACTATAAGATGTCAAGTGTCAGGGGTTGGAGTAGGTTCCTCATTTTTGATAGTTATGTTTTATAAATTTCATTCTTCATCTGACAGATGTTCATGCATATTTATCACGTTTATGTCTGATTCTGCTGCCCCACCCCACACTGCTGATACCCATACACTTGCCCAGGCACTTTGTTTTGTTGCCAGAGTCAACTTCGCTGACCTGGACTTACTGAGCATACTTTGAAATCCTCCCCTACTCTGTGCTGATCTTCCAGACACAGGAAACAATTTCCTTGTTCGACTTTCAAGATTCATTTTCATACCTACTTTTAAGTTATTATCCATTTCTTTTTCAGATATTTAAATATAGGCCGGATTCATTTCCTATGGCTCACTTCACAACTGTCACCACCTGTGACCCTCTTTGCTTATAGGATTGCTAACATCCTAGATGAATACCAAAAGAATATTATTTTGGAACATGTGAAACTGTAGTGGGTAAGTTCTAAAATTCCAAAGACAACATTAGATTAAAGGGAGCAGTATGTTTATTGAAAATTATCCATCACTTTAAATAGTAGTAAAAGTTGGAATGGGGCAATTTTCCTCCTATAAAAGGCTCTTCCTGGGGACTTCACCAGTACTTGAAAAGCACCTGCCACCTCTGTGGAACTATGACAACACAGCCTCACTGCAAGAGCTGAATATGGTCAGGGAGTGACTGAATTTGCAAACATGAGGTTTAGAAACACTATAGAAGAGTTTGGAATCCAGCTGGCTTTGCAGTCTGTTAATGGAATTTCAGGAGCCCTTACAATATTGCTGGCAGAGGAATGGCAGTTCACTTGGCTTTGACAAGAAAGTTTAGTGAATGTGCTCCTCAGTTGTGTGGTTTTATCATTATATATTGTGAAGATACCTTTCCCTTCTCTGAAGAAAGCACAGAGAAAAATGAGTTTTATGCTTGTTTTTAGTAGACTATTTTTAGAGAAGTTTTAGGTTCACAGCAAAATGGAACAGAAACTATACATTTCCCATATGCTCTTCATCCCTACACCATCATTGCATCTCCCGTTCTCATCATCCCCACCAGACTGATACATTTGTTACAACTGATAAATCTATATTTGTGCAACATTTTTATCCAAAGTCATAAGTCCATTAGGTTCACTCTTTATGTCATACATTCCATGCATTTGGACAAATGCATAATGCATTTATATTCACCAGTATAGCACCATATGGAATTGTTTCACTGCCCTAACAACCCCTATGATCTATCCAATCATCTTTGCTTCGCTCTTAATCCTTGGCATTCACTGTTTTACTGTCTGTATCATTTTTCCTCTGCTACAATGTTCTATAGGCAGAAACATATAGCACTTGTGCTTTTGGATTCTTTCACTTGGTAATATGTATTTAAGTGTTTTACATGTTGTTTCATTCCTTTATAGCTCATTTATCTATAGTGATGGGTAATATTCCAGTTTTTGCAAGTGCCAGAATTTACTAATCCATTTATCTACCAAAGATTGTCTTAGTTGCTTCCAAGTTGGGATAAAGTTGCTATTAATATGAATAAAATGTGTATGTTTCAATATAGGTACAATGTTTATGTTTCAATATAGGTATAATGTTTAAATCCATTAGATTAATGGCAAGAAGGATGTTTGCTTTTTGTTGTTCTATGTCGTAATGTAGGCATTTTATCCTTTTGTGGTTTGTATTTAGGTCTCTGGTTTGTATTCTTTTTTTTTTTTAAACAATGTGAAGTCTGTGTCTAGATTCCTATTTGGGCAGGTAGATGTCCAGTTGCCCCAGCAGCATTTGTTTGAAAGACAGTATTTTCTTCATTGTATTTCCTTTACTTTTTGTCACAGATGAGTTGATTATAATTATTTGAGACTCTTTCTGTGTTTTCTGTTCTATTCCATTAGTCTATTTGCCTGTGTTGCAACAAAAGTGCACTTTTTAATTTTTACTCTAGCTTTAAAGTATATTTTGAATTTGGATAGTGTCAATCCTCCAACTTTATTTTTCTCCTTTAATACTATGTTTGCTATACTGAGTCTTTACTTCTCCATATAATTTCTTAATCAATTTATTGATTTGCACCATACAACTATCTGTGATATGGATTAGGTTACTTGGAATCCAGAGATCAAGTATGAAAGAACTGACAATATTGACAAATTGAATCATCATACCCATGAACACTGACTATATCTCCATTTATTTAACTCCTTGATTTATTTCATCAATATTGTGGTTTTCTTCATATAAATATTTGCAATTTGTAAGATTTCCACTTAAGTACTTCATTTCCTTATTGAGGAAGTGTTTGCATTACAGTCACACCACAGAAACGTTAGAATCCACATATCTGGTTTATAATTATGCAATTTCTTTGTAGAATTCACTACAAAGAAAATACTGATATTGGAATGAAGGATATGATCCAGAAGTTGCCTGTGGCATTATTAACTGCTCAAAGAACTTCTGAGTTACAGTGACTGCAGGGATCTTATAGAGAAATGAGATTCTTAAAAGATGTTTGGAAGAAGGAGTAGTAAGTAGTCAAGGATTCAGTCATCGTATAAAAAAATCTGAATCTTAAAATCTGTCCCCAACTATTTAGTGTGGAACAGTCTGGGCATACATACTTATTTAAAGCAGCCACAAAGTGATTTCAGTCGAAGAACCTTGCTAATTTGTTGAGACTGAAGACAAACCTAAAGGCACTCCCAAGCATGTCAACCTTGAAATCCAAGAAGTATGTTGTTGCTATTGACAGAAGTAAGTGGCTGGCTAATCAAGCAGTCAAAGGGCAGATAAGCATGTATTTGGAATAAAAATTCAGTGGTGAGATTTTGAGGAAGTATCTTACAGTCAGTGTGAAATAGGAAACAGATCATTTTTATTGTTTCTTATATGCTTAAAATCCATATTATTCCTTTTTTTTCCTGTCTGATAAGTAGAGCAGGTCTGCCTGCCTTCCTACCACATTTCTCATCATTTCTATGGTGAAAATGTCATATCAGACTCAGCAGTCTTCTCCTTGGTCCAACCAGCCATGTAATTTCGCCACTCTTGTCTATGCCCAGAATAATCGATCTTCCTAATATTCTTCTTCCCTTATCTCTCTGGACATGAATCCCATTCAGTCTTCAAGGCCAATCAAATCTCATCTCCTTTCCAAAGCAACTGGACTCTCTTTCCTTTCTAACTATACTTCTTTTCACATTTGCTCATTTATTTGGCCTTAACATTGTCAACTAACTTTGAAGTATGCAGACATTCTTACTAATTTATTATAAACATATAGAACAGGGCCCTTAGGTTACCATTTCTTTGTCCCTTATGAACTCTAGTACACAGTTAGTTTCTAAATATTTTCGGGCAAGGGTGATAAAAGGTATTTGTTGAATTTGGGCAACCCAATGAATCTGTTACTAGGAAATGTAAAAGAAAACATACAGGGGTGAGCAGCCGCAGCAAGTGGGAGACGCAGGCAGCATAAACAATGATGCACTGAGGCATGGAGGGCGCCAGGCAGGGCAGCACGTTAGCAGCTCTGCAGAGAAAACTTTTTGAGAAAGAGGAGGGGCTCCCATTCTTTATTGATTCAAAGCAATATGAATGGAAACATATATTATTTCATAGTAAAACAGAGTACGTACAAACTTCACATAGTGGGTTGTATATAAAGAAACTTGCTCCTCCATTCAGATTTGAAGAAATATTTATTGAGTGCTTACAATGTGCCACACACTGCCAATGTGATCTAGCATTATTATGAACAGGTTTGTTTTTAACTTCTAAAGTGGACATCATCGCAATCTCGTTGCCCCTTTATAACACCTGAAAACTATGAGTTACATTATTTCAGGTGGCATTAGCAGTATGTGACATCCTATTACATGGAATTTGCATGTACACAGATGTCTGATTGTGCCTTCTAGCGTAGTAAAATCCCTGAAAAATAGATTATTTTTGCTCATCTCACATGCTTTGACTAGATGCTTGAGTATGCAGATTTTTTTATTTTATGAGAAAATAAAACAAAATTTCATAACAAAATAATGAGAACAATAGTTAATACAATACTATTATTTTTAAAGTAGTAAATCAAAAATATCCTTACAGGCTAGGGATTTAGCTCAGCGGCATAAGCATCTGCCTTGCAAGCACTCAGTCATGAGTTCGATCCCTGGTACCAAAAAAAAAAAAAAAAAAAATCCTTACAAAGAACAAACAGATCATAGCACAAAACCTTCATTTCAATGAACCAAGAGAAACTGGCAGTATAAATGAAATATATATATAAAAGTATATATATTAAAATATTTGTGATATAGAGAAATAGGTAATTTAGGGAAATATTTGAATTTCTCCTTACTATTTGTTTGTCTTCTATTTTTCTCTTTATCCAAGGTAAGTGACACAAATCAGACACATGAGATTAAATGTTGCACATTTTTTCTTATATGATACCTTTGTTTGTTTGTTCTTTGTATTTTGTTTTTTGAGAGTCTCACTATGTAGTTCAGTTTGGTCTTGAACTCGCCACACAGCCCAAGCTGACTCAGGCAATCCTTCGGCCTCAACCTTCCCAGTGATGGGTTTATAAGCATGCATTACTACATCCCACTTAAGACCCCTTTTTACATGATAGTTTAAAAGAATACAACTGGCAAGAAATGAGTGCAACTTTTAATCTCTGATAGTTTATTTTATCAAAATTGTGATACAAAATCAGCTAACTTTCTATCTTTTGAAACTAGAGGTTTAGGACAACCACTTTTCTTTTGAGTCATATATAGATGTTTCTAGACTCTGCTTTTTGCCTCCTGCCAGAGACTATATTGAAAAGCAAAAGATTTACTTTTTACCAGGCAGGTGATTGAGAACCCATGTCTCCCAGCAGGCTCCCTTTGGTTAGGAGGCATAGTAAGAGAGTTGGCAAATTGCATCAATGTGTTTCATTTGTTACTTTCAGGTCAATAAGCATCTTACACATTCAAAGACCTGCAATACTTGCTCTGTCACATCTCGTAACTTCTAAGCAGAGCCTTCCCTGGAGAAGAGTTAACCAAAAGAAAATGTAATCCTTAAGTCTTACATAGGATGTATTTGGGAGGGAAAAACCTGAAGAATGAATTCATTTTGATGACCAGGCATTTTAAAAATGCTAAAAATACATTAGCCAAACTTTTTAAAGTGACTTCATTAACTTCTTGAAATTGCATACACATTAATAGGATTTTTATTATTAATTCTCTTAATTTGTTTATACTAGGTTTTGAAAGGGGTCTTATTATTTTCTTGAGTGTAGCTATGCACTGATGAGACTCATTAGCCATAATGGAATCTGGCAATTTATCACCCAGATTAAAAGCCTTTTCCACATAACCCACATTTACCCTTTATCTTTAGAGACACCTCTTTGGCATCAATCAAAGACATAGTGTAATTCTCCAGATTTCTCAGTAACAGAA